TATCTGCTGTGAGCAGTTAGGGTGTGTGAGGGGAAAGAGAAAGCAAAACAAATGAGCACAGAGGCCATGAAAATGAAACAAGATGAGCCACAAACTACTGCAGAGAGGAGACAGAATGTTATGTTTTATCTACTTGCCCCACAACATGAATACACTCGTGTAATGTCATATATACATACTGCATTTTTATATGTGAATGTCAGATTGATCAAAGCTTATTATACAGTACAGACAATCATAAACTTGTATAAACATACTGTATTATCCTTTATTAAGTCCTGTATAAAACCACAGGACATCGGATAAAAGTAGGTTGACTCAGAATCAAACATAGTACAGGATCATGTCATCATTGTTTTCTGAACAGTGGCCCAGAAGCAGCACACAATCACAGATCACCAGTTTGTACTTCATGATAAACCAGTTTGAACAAAGAAATCCAGTCACAAAAGCATAATTAGTTACATCTGAATGGATTGAGCCACATTGATAAAATAAAAATAAAAGCTACTTTAACAGTAACGTGCAAAGAAATGTGGGGGTTCGGTTGCTTTTGACCATAAATAAAATCGATGCATCTTTCTGTAATGCCTCAGTCTGAGACAGGCCACATGTCAGCATTTATATTCAACCTGCTGTGATTTTGCATACTTTAACCAGAGTTTACAGTGCTGTGAAAAAGTATTTGCTCACTTTGTACTAGCTGCAGGCTGCACTGCTGTTGCTTGGATAATCAAATGAGCAGGTGGGACAGAGGGATGGCCCTTAGAGACACAAGGCAGAAAGGTATTTTACTGTACATATAATGCCTGCCATGCAAATCAGTGATACTGGAGACTACTTAGCCTAGCTGAGAGCAACAGGCACAGCAGTATACTTGTTTAAATCACTGCTGTCCAACTTTGACATCCAAATGGATGTCCAAACATCCCACTGTAACATATGTTTGAGGACAAGCAGAGAGTGGTAGTTTCTATACACTTCTTTTGAAATGTAAATCACAGCGATGCTGCAGTGCTTCGGTCAGTCTTGAGATTGATGCCTGTTTCCAGAGATCAGGACATAAAGCCACAACAGAGACAGTTTGCATAATATTTGCCTGAACTATTTGCAGTAGTTAGCGTGTGCATTCAGTGTGACTCTACCATGTGCTAATCAAGCGTGACTTCTACTGAAGGCTCCGTAACCCAGTGATGAAAATGGTTCAATCTGAAACAGTTGGTTACAGTATGCGCCATCGAATGTGGAATGTTGAAACTGAGATTTCAAAGCTCTCAACAAAGAGGCTGAATGAGAAAACAGGCAAGAGAAGAAAAACTAAAGCAAGTAAGAAGAGGTCACCTTTTGCCTTTCTCCTCTGTGTTTGTTAAACTTGTGACGTTGTTCAATGACTGCATAAAAGTGAACAAATTAAAAGCACCTTTTGCCTTCAGGCAGTATCCGCCACACCACTCAGTTGCTCTAAATCTGACCCTCCCCCCTGAAAGGAATACCAGCACCTTCAGTTACTCAGAGGTTATATTTACAAAATATATAAAGAAAAATATAGGGTTACTGGCTCTAGCATATAGTACAGTCCAACAGCTGTCTGTAAATATTTCTTCCATGATTATCCTTTCTAAAAGTAAATCACAGGGTAAAGATAGCTGGAACGTGACAAGGAGCAACTAGGACAACATGACCAACAGTGCTGAGCTGCAGTCAACTACAGGGACATAGAGAGACAGAGACAAATGCAAGAAAGACAGGGTTTGGCAAAAATAGGCACAAAACTGAGCCAGGCGGGACAGCTCATGCTACAGGAAGTTAAATCAACACCTGAAAGTGTTGATACAGAGGAAAATAAAACACAAATTCACTTAAAGGAAGTAGAGACTGTTCCAGAAGAGCGACAGAGTTTGCATTTTCTCCAAAATGGATGGATGGAGAGGATTTTTTTCTTTTATTAGCACTGCATGTGGAAATAACAGCTGGTGAAATGCACCAGAAAACCAACCTCACTACCTCTTAATCTCACTTGTACTATTGTATCTTTGTTTAGATTACTTTAATAAGCTAAAGTGTACAACATCGTTGGCCTATTTGTGGTTCACCTGATGCCATTATCCCAGGATCACATAAATTAAACAGCACATATGTTGGTCAGGGAGCATCAGGCGTGCTGGTTGATAAAATCTGCTGACTTTAAGCTAAGCTGAACTAGCTAGTTCAATTGCTCCACTAAGCTAGCTAGCTGCAGTAAGCTGAACTAGCTAGCTTAGTGCAGCTAGTTCAATTGCTCCACTAAGCTAGCTAGCTAGCTGCAGTAAGCTGAACTAGCTAGCTTAGTGCAGCTAGTTCAGTTGTTGCACTTAGCTAACTAGTTAGCTAGCAGGCCCGCGACTGACTGCCACTGACTAAGCTGAGCTAGCTAGCTTAGTGCAGCTAGTTCAGTTCTGCTTAAAAAAAATGAAAGGAGCACTTTTTAATCCAAGTATAACATCAAGTTAATTAAACATCTGGGATGTTGATCTGGCCAGTTAAGTAGCAGAGGGAGGTGTTAATCAGATTCAGCTGCTTTGGTGTTAATGAAATTAACAACAGGTGCACTAGAGGGGCAACAATGAGACAACCCCCAAAACAAGAATGACTGGAAGGTTTAGCCCATTAGCAGTACCAGTATCTGCTTTTTTTATGCAAGGAGGAACAGGATGAGCACTGCCAAGGCTACAAATTGACCTTTCAGCAGGCCACTGGTGTGAATGTCTTTGACACACAATGAGAAATCTATTGATAGGCCCCATGCTCACTGTCCAGGACCATGGATGGTTTGGGGAGGCATGTCCATGGAGCAAAGAACAGGTCTGACTGCCATTAGGTATCAGAAGGAAATCTTTGGACACATTGTCAGACCCTACACTGGTGCAGTGGGTGTATGACAGCACGGCTGTATGTGGTGAGAGTATGCAGGCAGTTCATGGAGGATGAAGGAATTGATGCCACTGACTGGCTCCCACGCTCGCCTGACCTAAATCCAATAGAACTCCAGGACGTTTTGTTTCAGTCCATCCAATGTCACCAGGTTGCACCTCAGGCTGCCCATGAGCTCAGTGATGTCCTGGTCCAGATCTCAGTGGAGATCTTTAATCTGTTATTAGTAGCACATTGTCAGGCATGCATACACGCACATGGGAGCCATGCAAACTACTGAGTACCGTTTTAGGTTGCTGCAATAGCATTTCGTCAAAACGGGCTAGCGTGCTGGATCTTTTTTTTTCACTTTGATTTTTAGGGAATTCAGACCTCTGTATGTTCATAATTTTCATTTTTATCAAACAATCTGGCATCCTTTCATTCCTAACACATTACCCAGTCAATCAACATGATTGTTTTTCCTATTGACAGCTGAAGTGTTCCTTTCATTTTTTTAAGTGGTGTATTTACTAACAGTAGATTGGCATCAATATTACTATCAAACTTTAAAAAAGACTGTAAAGTTTTACATCATCATACATAAAATAAATGTGGAAGAAAAATGATTTTAAAGAAATACTTTTACACAGTAACTGTGACAATTACTGGAAAGTACTTTTTTTTTTACCTGAGTTATTTTTCATTTATAAAAGTAGGATAGTCTTGACATACAGTATTAGTGGAGACAAGAGACTGACACTGTCCTTCACTGTCCTTCACTGTCCTAAACCTATCAGAGCCACTCCTTACTTCCCTTTTACATATCTATCAGACAGCTACATCAGATAAACAATAGTCTTACTGAGAGTTCCCAGAGTGGTGAAGAGACCTGAAAGTGTTCTTTTGCATTGGTGCTGTTATGCACCAGGACAAGAGCAAACGCATGTGCTTAAAAGAAGATCGGCAAGTCTGCATAAAAATGCAGTAAAGGACGTTGGTGTTGAAAATAGTTTATTCGGGCACTGCCCTTGCTTTTCAGGCAACTATGTGGTGAACTTCACTGCTGCTTCCTTTGCTGTTCAGGCACGCTACTCAACCAGTTCGCTTTCAGCCTATGCACAGCGTCATCCCCTTTGGTCTATGTGCATGCATGCTTTGGTTGCATACCCAAAATCCTTCACTCTGCGTAACCAGATGCCCAAACAGACACAAATGCAGTATCGTGAATCCCACTTTAGGCTCATCCATTCAATTTCAGCTTTTTCACTTTGCCTTTAAACTTCCATATTATCTACTAACATGACATCAAAGAGGATCCCTCTCTCTCTTTGCGACTTATAGATCTCACTGAGACTGACAGCACAAAAGTTCAGAGTTCATCCCGCTGGCAGAGCTATAAACAGACCAGAAGTGGTTGATAGGGGTCTTAGACTCTCCCCTCCTTCCATCCTCTCTCTTCCTTTAGTAATATGATACTGTTTCAATTAGGGTCCAGTGCCTCACACAAAGAGTTGGCGCATGAAGCCATCAGTGCTGTTTCTCACACCAAAGAAACTCATTTGTTGTTTTCAAGCTTAGACAGAAAAGAGAACATATTAAAGCTCTAAATGTTGTATTTTGCTGTTCCCTTTTCCTGCGTCAGAAAAATAAATAAATAAATAAATTCATTAATTAAAAGCAAATCTTCCAATGACAAGAGCAGCATAAACAACACATGTTACATCTCCTACCAACAGTGAAAAAGACTTCCTAAATAGAAAATAGCTTTCAGGCACAGATATATAAAAAATGAATATATACATAGCAGGAAATCAAATATGATACACTTGCATAAAACTTGGAGTGAAAGTGCATCTCATGTTGGAGTTCTTCCCGAATCTCAAAATCGAGGTGAAGTCTATTTATGAGGCCAGTGGATCCTTGGCAAGAAATGTGTCACCGTCATGGCGGGTGACACTCTGTTTCCTCGTTTTGTTCTGCCGTTCTTACTCAGGCCGATGAACATCCTCGGGTAGGCAACTGACTCGTAAGCATTGTAGTTGTTGGCAAGGAGCGTCTCTCTGAACTTACACTCATTGTTGTAATGTGACTGAAAAAGAAGAGAGATGATTGGAAATGCTGATTGTTTGAAGGCAGACACAAAACAAAGATGTGGGGACATTTCTGAGGGTGTTTCAGTTTGCATTGTTCATTCTGATCATTATCAAACAATTGATTTCTTTCTGACTGCAGAGCTGTTATTGTACAGGAGCTATCTCAGGCAGATTTTAGACAAAAAGAAATACATTGTGAAATGATGAATGATGTGAGTGCTACAGGACTCGGGACGCCAGGCTCTGATTGGTTCATTTTTGCTCACTGGATTGGGAATGATAAGGCGCTA